CACAACGAATCATCGCTTTGCGCGCGTACGACATACCGTTCTTATCCTTTTGAAGGTTCACTGCTTTTACTGAGTCGGCAGCAAGTTGCAGGAAGAACTTCTTTCCAGGGTTTTGAAGTTTCCCCGACCACGATCCATTCTTCCTAACCTTGTTTTGCCAGTTTTTGTCTTGAATTAATTCCAGTTTCTTCTCGTTCCACTTGGCTTTCCAAGCATCTTTTATCTTGGAGATAACGAAAGAATCCGCAGGTTGACAAAGGTCTGTAGCGTTCGGCGGAAAAAACTGAGGTCGGAGTTGATGGCACCCAGTTCATCACGACACTCATCGGCTCCTAAATGCCCGGAGCAATTGTCGAGATAGATTTTTTTCTTCCGGCCACGTACGTCTGCTCGCATAGCTCGCCTCTCTTTCAAGTATTCTCGAAACTGCTGTTTCGAAGTATATTTTTCGCCAGTTGTAACAACAAAGCTGCATCAAACTTGACCCCAAGTTTCCGTAGTCTGTCGAACTCGTCTAGAAGCATGGTGTATAACCACTACACCCATGCGCTTCTCGGTCTTCCGCGACACGCAGTGACCTTTGCGCTGACTCGTCGTCTTCCTCCGCGTCGGCGAGCAGAAATCGCGACGGAACCACGCCCTGCATCTAATATCTGCTCCCGCTTCTTCCACCAATATATCGCCTTGGCTAGATTGGCAGCTTGCGTACCCGAATTGAAAATACGAGGGAATCTGTTTTCGGCCTTAGCAAACATCCCTTTGTCTCCGTTGTTCGCCTCGAACTCTTTCATCCAGCGGACGACCTTTCGGCGGTGAGCAATGCTGCTCACTGCCTGTGTGTGACGGGAAGACTGACGCGGCTGCGATGATATTGATTGAGAAGCTTCTGGTTGAACGTCCGAACCACTGCTCTGCAACTCGACGACATGTCCAACAGATTTTGGCGCGGAGGCGTGGTCTGGTGAATGTTGGCCGTCTTGGTCACACTCAGGGCAAATCACAGATTGCCCAAAGCCTTCTTTCCCTGTCGGACGCCCACAAAATGGATGCATGTGGCGGAAGCACTTCGGGCAACTGTGGACAGGTCCCACAGGTTGTCCACAACCACCACACGGGGTAGCACGGTTGATTGTAACCATGATTGGTGTCTGACGAGTAAAACTGACAGTGAGGACACGGAGGAAAATGGAGGGAATACTGTGGCACTCTACCGTCCAGTCCTTCACCCCTACCACCGAAGCGGAGGTAACATCAGACACGCTACACACACGGCTGGAACTGAGTTTGTGGTCGTATTCATGCTTGCACTTGGTCGGCACTTCGAAAACCATTCCAAGTTGTTTAAAAAAAACAATTGCAAAAAGGTGCCTCGAACCCAGAACTGAAGACTGGAGTTCCACACCCTTTACCGCTCGGCCCAGGTAAGACTATTTTTGAATTCGACTTGGTCAGACTATTTCTGAATCTAGTGATTTTGCTTCAACAATAATTAGTCTGACTAAGACTATTTTTGAACTCAGACTATTTATGAACTCAGACTAATTACCGTAGACAGTGTAGTTGAAGGCAACTGAAAGATTGTTCTCGTGG